TCATGACACTGAGACCTCATCTTTAGCCAGTGCTTCCTTGGGGCCCACTAAAACAAGAGTTGCCTCTAGGGAGGGAATGGAAATTATCACCTTGACCCTGGTTGATGAGCAGGAAATGGTGACAATAAGGTTACTTGATATAGCCCAGAACATCAAGTCCTTCTGGACTTAGCAGAGACCTCCAGATCTCCTACCAAAGTCCCAGCATTGTATGGGGACAGAGAGTTGACAGGGGCTGGGGCTATGAGGGTGGAAGCGGAGGGGAGGGATGCCCGGCGATTTAATGCAGTTGCTCATTTTAAATCTTGCCTACATGTGGAGTAGTTAGAGAGATCATGAGAGTGGCCATGGGGCCCACAGACGCATAAAAGGGGCCACAGGTCAGGGAACTTCCTCTTTGACCCTTTTTTCATGGCTGGAAAAATGGCAGGAAGCAGCTATTCTCTTGTGTATGTGTGTGTGTGTGTGTGTCTGTGTCTGTGTGTCTGTGAGTCTGTGTCCAGAGAATCAAGGGAGGACAAAGGAACCCAGAGAAAGAAGCCTCAGCCAGGAGAGGTGAGCATCAGCGAAAGATAGTTCAGGAGCCAGGATATAAGACACAGGGCATCAAAGGAATGAACCAAGAGGCCAGCATGGACCAAGGCTGACACACCCGGGGCATTGTGGGGACCCAGAACTACCTTCTTAAAGCTCTTACATAAATAGCTCAAGCTTCATAAAGTTTTGTGTGCTCGCTCTGCATATGGAACTCCAGGGCTCACCCTCAAGGAGCTGAGTCCCTTTGGGGAGAAGCCGTGGGACCCTCCTGGGAACACACCCTCCAAATGTCTGGGGTGAGGGGTACATTTGATGATGGAATTATCGGAAGGACCCTCAGAATAACTCTTGTACATCCTACAAGAAAAAGTCTGATTGTCTTCAGATGCTCTAAAACTACTTGATCTTTCCCTTCTCTCCCATTTGAACCACTACTTCCCTTTGTCCCCTCTGTTCCCACCCAGCTTCCATAATCTATGTCCTCCCGATTCTCCTGGGACCTTGACCCATACTAAAAGACAAGGTAAAGGTAAAGGTAAAGGCCCTCCCGTTGATCGTCGATTTGCTCGAGCGTGCCCAGTAACGCCTCCACTGGAGACTTTGTTGTTACTGTGTCTGGCATATCGAATACTCTCGGTAGGTTGCCAGGCTCTCCGAGAGGGGCGGAGGAATCGAACTCGCGTCGGCCATGTTGGCCGCTTGTAAGGCGAACGCCCTACCCGCTGTGCTATCGCTCCAGCCCTAAAAGACAAAGCAAAACAAAACAATCTTTTCTTCACCCAGGTCTTCATTTGACCTGTTCTGGAAGAATCCAGATGCAGGTAACTTCCTATCCCCCGCCCTCACTCCATTTTACTCCCCAATTCTTTGTATTCTAGGCTTCTACTCCCTGTCCCAGGACCCCTAATTTTTGGTTGGTCAGACCTGTCAGATTATACTCAGCAACTATGGGCCAGTATGACGGTTCCCCATGAGCTCAGACTAGCGAAGCCGTTTCTGAGTGCCAGGTTCCAAACAGAAAACATTGGTTCTAAAAGCAGCAAATGGTACCAAGTGGGTTAAGAATCAATTTTTTTTCTGTTTTTGGGGTCACACCCGGTGATGCACAGGAGTTACTCCTGGCTCATGCACTCAGGAATTACTCCTGGCGGTGCTTGGGGGACCATATGGGATGCTGGGAATCAAACCCGGGTAGGCCGTGTGCAAGGCAAATGCCCTACCCACTGTGCTATCGCACCAGCCCCAAGAATCAATTTCTTGACTGGTTCTCACATCCATTCTTCCTGGACCAAATTAGATGAAGCCAGCTGAAGTGGATAACTCTATAACCAGGGACACATCATTTTCTTTTTCTTTCTTTCTTTCTTTCTTTCTTTCTTTCTTTCTTTTTATGTAGGAGTACTGCTATTTATTCAGTCACTGATTAAGCTGATTGAATTGGGCATGAACTCCACCTTACTTTTTTTTCATAATTTTATTTATTTATTTTTTCTTCTTATATTTATTTATTGAATCACTGTGGGGAAAGTTACAAAGCTTTCAGGTTTAAGTCTCGGTCATACAATGATCAAACACCTTTCCCTTCACCAGTACTCATTTTTCACCACCAAGAACCCCAATATACCCCCCTCCCACCCCTCCCAATGCCTGTGAGGCAGATGATTTCTACTTAACTTTTCTCTACATTTATTACATTCATTATTTTGACAAAAGATCCACCATTATTGTTTAGAATTCCTTCCCTCCCCCCCCCCCCAACAATCAGAATCGCTGAAAAGGCATTGTGAAATACTTTGTTTTCTATAGCTGGTTATGAGAATCATATAATGATTTTGGATTTCTGCAAAGAGCCAGATAATTATGAGATTAGTTTCTGTGCATCTAGTGTTATAGCTGTGCCAGAGAGCCACTCGTGGGGGGCAACTCGTGACTTGGTAGGGCGTGAAGGGCAAGCCGGTACCGCCCCCCTTCCCATGAAACTGCAGTTGCTCCATCACTGCCGGCTCATACCTGGCTTTCCAACAAGCTCTGAGGTGGCAGCTACCTTGCTGCCGGGGTGGGGGGGTGTGTGCGGATGGCAGAAGGGAACAACACACTTTCCCTGCCAGGGAGGTATGGCACCCTAGTTTAGCGCATGGTCCATTCACTTTTCTGCCGCAAGCTGATGGGCTCTGGATTAAGTTCTTTTGCCTCTGGAGCCATGGCCATGCTGGAGAGCCGCTCGTGGGAGGCAACTTGTGACCTCAGTAGGGCATGAAGGACAAGCCGGTACCATCCCCCTTCCCATGAGACTGCAGTTGCCCTGTCAACGCTGGCTCATACCTGGCTTTCCTATAAGCTCTGAAGTGGTGGCCACCTTGCTAGGGATGCATCATTTTCAGAGTAGTTGGTGCTGATTTAGAGATCAGAGAAGGGTGGTTCTCACTTGTTATTTTTTGTTTGTTTAAATTTATTAGTGAATCACCGTGGGGTACAGTTACAAACTTACACACTTTTGTGCTTGTGTTTCACTCATACAATGATCAAATACCCATCTCTCTACCAGTGCCCATTCTCCACCACCAATGATCCCAGTATCCCTCCCATCACCCCCACCCTATCCCCCTCCACCCCACCCCACCTCCAAGGTAGGGAATTCCCTTTTGTTCTCTCTTTCCTTTTGGGTGTTATAGTTTGCACTAGAGGCATTGAGTGGCCATTGTGTCTGATCTATAGTCTACATTCGGCTCACATCTCCCAAGCCGAGCTGGTCCTCCAAATACCCTTTACTTGGTGTTCCCTTAACTATCTGATCTGCCTTTCCCCCCAGCATTTGAGACTGGTTTCCAAATCGTGGAGTAAATCTCCTGGTCCTTATCTCTACTATTCTTGGGTGTCAGTCTCCCATTCTCTTACTTTACATGCCACAGATGAGTGCAGTCTTTCTATGTCTCTCCCTCTCCTTCTGGCTCATTTCACTTAACATGATACTTTCCATGTTGATCCATTTATACGCAAATTTCGTGACTTCACTCCTGGTGGGAATACCGACTGGTTCAGCCCTTTTGGAAGAATTTAGAAGAGTCCATAATAAAGTTCGTATGGAATCATTAAAGATCCTGAATTGTCAAAACCATACTGAAAAATAAGAAATTGGGTATCACATTACCTAACTTGAAGCTATAACAGAAAGCCTTAAGGATCAAAACATCATGGTTCTGGTATAAGGACAGTCTCTGACCAATGGGTCAGAATGTAATATTCAAGGGCATATCCCCTTATATGTGGTCAGCTAAGCTTGACAGTGGAGATAAGAGCTTGAAATAGAATAAAGTCAACCTCTCCAACAAATGGTGTTAGGAGAATCAAAGAACCACATATAAGAAATTAAAGCTGGGTTTATATCTCCCACCTTACACAGAGCTTACACAGAGTCAATTTAAAGTGGATCAAACACCTTGAGATCAGACTGAATCTATAAAAATACACTGAGAAAAGTATAGGCAGGACACTCCAAGAGCTTGGCCTCAAAGGAGCCAGCAATGGTATGATGCCATCGGCAAAGCCACAGGGTTAAAACTAAGCAAATGAGTCTGCATCAGGTAAGTTTCTGTATGGAGAAAGAAACATGGACAAAAACTAAAAGACAGCTAATCGAATAGAAGGAAAATATTTGCATTTAACACATAAGAGTTGACACCAGAATATGCAAAGTACTCACGCTCTCCTGAACTCAGCTCACCATCTCGCTCTGGGTGACAAGAAGCTCAGCACACTGGGCATGGAGTTCCACATGTGATCCCTGCTGGAGCTCTGCACGTAGTTCCTGCTGGACATCGGCGGCTGCTTTGTGGGATTGGGACAGAGTGGTGGCAGGGCAAGGAAAGACCATGGCGGCGGCCACAGCATCACCGCCTCCCCTGGCTGGGCCGAGTCACGGCACCATGAAGTGTTGGAGCAATGACAGTGGCCTGAGCGGTGACTTGTACACTGGGATGCTGTCCACCAATCACCGAGTGACTTGGGGCTCGGCACAGGTGTTCGAACTGGCACAGACCCTATGCGATGGGATCTTGCTCTGCCAGCTGTTCGACAGCCTCCAGGCATACTCCATCCAACTCAAGGAGATCAACCTGGGGCCACAGATGCCTCGGGCGCTTCCCAGAGACAAAGGCAGGTGCGTGTTGTCAGTGTACAAATTGTACAAAGTGTGCAGTGTTAAGGCAGGCTGGTCAACAGGAGCTTACATTCCGTAGACTGGGAACACCTGTAGGGATGATTAGAGATCACCCCCAAAACCTCCATCTCCCTCATGGAAAGCCTGGCAAACTACCGAGGATATCCAGCCTGCATGGCAGAGCCTGGCAAGATACCCATGAGGTACCAAATATGGCAACAACAGTAGCTAAAATGGGTCTCATTTCCCTAACCCTGAAGGAGTCTCCAGCTGAGTTGGGAAGAACGAGAGGGCTTGTTCTAAGCAGATGGCGCACAAGTTAACAGGCGGGAAGGTGCCTCGCAGCAGCTGGCCACCAAGGCAGCCTGCAAGAGCACCACCAGCCGTGGGTGGCATGAAGAAGTCGCACCACTACCGGCCCGACACCATGGTGCTACGCAAGATCCACCAGCTGCCATTCCAGTGGCTGGTGCACAAGATCGAGAAGAACTTCAAGACTGACCTGCACTCCCAGAGTTTGGCACCACAGGAGGCATGGGAGGCCTGCCTGGTGGGGCTCTTCGAGGACACCAACCTCTGCGCATTCCCCGCCAAGTGTGTTACCATCATGCCCAAGGACATCCAGCTGGTGTGCTGCATCTGCGGAGAGAGAGCATAAAATTTATGATGCTAAAATCTCTGGGCTGGGACAAATGGAGACGCTATAGGCACCTGCTCGAGTAATCAATGGTTAATGGGATGACAGTGACAGTGACAGTGATGGACGATTCTCAAAAAATTAGAAATTGAGCTCCCTTTTGACCCAGCAATACCACTTTTGGGAATATATCCTGGAGAGGCAAAAGAGTATAGTAGAAATGACATCTGCACTTGTATGTTCATTGCTGCACTGTTTACAATAGCCAACATCTGGAAAAAACCTGAGTGCCCAAGAACAGATGACTGGTTAAAGAAACTTTGGTACATCTACACAATGGAATACTATGCAGCAGTTAGAAAAGATGAAGTCTCACTTGTTCTTATGGAATCAGACCAACATGAACAGAATCACAGCGACTCAGGAGGAGGCTGGAGGCAGCCAGGTGATACTGCCTTTACTCTAGGGGAAAACACTATCAAATGAGTCTTAGCAGAACAAATCAATTCTAACTACATTAAACCAGTTTACAACTACATATGTTAAAGTAGCCTGGTTCAAACTGGATCAAATCGGCTCTAATTTCAATCTTTTTGCCCTTACTGATTAAAACCAGCTGTCACCAGTATAAACCAGCTCAATCTGGCTATGTTGTCACGTGACTCAAAAAATATATTAACTCTTTACTGAGAAATAAAATGATGGAGAGCTTCTAGATGTCATCACACATTATAGCTTTTAATTTAGGTGCTCCTTATATAGATCATTGAAAGGTTTACATCTCTCTTTCTCTCTCTCTCTGCAAAATAATTTTATTGAAAGAAACCTAGAGAGATGTGAAGAAAGAGAAAGGGAGAGACACAGGCTTCCCCAGAGGGGAAAAAAAGGCCTGAAAGTTTTACATGTTACAAAATAAATAATGGGCAGGTTGGGTGGTGGTTGGGAAAATTTGAAATAACAGTGGTGGGAGGGTAAAATGGTGGTGAGACTGGTGTTAGATTATTGAATATAATAAATTATTGTGAACCACTTTATAACGGTCACAGTCCCCCCGTTGTTCATCGATTTGCTGGAGCGAGCCCAGTAATGTCTCCATCGTGAGACTTGTTGTTACTATGTTTGGCAGATTGAATACGTCACGGGTAGCTTGCCAGACTTTGCCATGCAGGCGAGATACTCTTGGTAGCTTGCCGGGCTCTCCAAGAGGGGCGGAGGAATCGAACCGGCTCGGTCGGGCTGGCTGTGCGCAAGGCGAATGAATGCTCTACAGCTGTGCTATCACTCCATTGTGTGCAAATATTTTCTCCCATTCTGTAGGTTGTTCTTATAAATTTTTGCCCTTATTTCTTTTGCCATGCAGAAACTTTTTAATTTGATGTAGTCCCATTTATTTAATTTTGCTTCTGTTGTCCTTGTCAACGGAGTCCTGTTTGTTGAAAAGTTCTTTGAGATTCGAGTCCTGGAGTGTTCTACCTATATTTTCCTCAGTGTTATTTTATGAAATTTGGTGTAATATCAAGGTCTTTGATCCACTTTGAATTGACTTATTGACTTTCATGTGAGGTCAAGATATGGATTCAGTTCCTTCCTTCCTTCCTTCCTTCCTTCCTTCCTTCCTTCCTTCCTTCCTTCCTTCTCCCTCCCTCCCTCCCTCCCTCCTTCCCTCTTCCTCCTCTTCCCTCTCCTCTATCCTTCTCCTTCTCTTCTCTCTTACTTTCTTATTTTCTTTCTCTCTTTCCCAACATCATTCATTGAAGAACCTATCTCTCTCCATTAAATAGACCCAGCTCCTTTCTCATAAATTAGCTGTCCACATTTATTTTTTTAATTAATTTTATTAAAAACACCATGATTAGCAAAGCTGTTTATTATACAGTTATTTCAAGCATTTAGTATTCCAGCACCATCAATGTAAACTTCCCCCACCAGAATCTTCAGTTTCCCTCCCAACCTGTCCCCTTTGACACAGAACAAATTTACTTTATACTGCTTATTTCAACAAAACTTTAAGAACTGGCAAAAGAATGATCAGAAAATAACTGTCCATATTTATGGTGATTAATGACTGAGTTCTCAACTCTAACCCACTGTTCTGACAGTCTGTCTGTACTCCAGTACCATTATGTTTAAATTACTATAGCTTTATAGTATAGTTTTAAATTTGATAAAGCAATAACTCCTAGTTTATTATTTCTCAGAATACACACCTGCATTATTGACTCAAAGAAATCTTAGAAAAGTCGATATTTATTAGTTGAAACCAATTTTGTGGTCATTTGTTTTGCAGGAACAAATTATTAGTATAATATATATACCTTTAAAAATAATATAATGCTTAATATGCTTTTACTTAGTACACCATTTTATGTTTGTTTCTTTTGTTTTCCATTTTTCTCTTGCCTGTTCTTGTGGTTGTTTTTTTTTTTTTTTTTTTTTTTTTTTTTTTTTTTGCTTTTGGGTCACACCTGGCGATGCATCGGAGTTACTCCTGGTTCATGCGCTCAGGAATTACTCCTGGCGGTGCTCGGGGGACCATATGGGATGCTGGGAATCGAACCTAGGTCGGCTGCGTGCAAGGCAAACGCCCTACCCGCTGTGCTATTGCTCCAGCCCCGCCTGTTCTTGTTTTACTTGATTTTCTAAAAATTGTTTTAATCATCTCTGGGTATTTTATGTCTCTTTGAAAATAGTTTAGTTGCTATTGTATGAGCTACAATAAACATACTTAATTTTCACAGCCTATGTGGGATTCTATTCTACAATTTCAGAGTGAATTGCTGTTACTTTGTCATTGTGTAAGTAGCTGTGTCTGTGTTGTGTTTGTCATACGGGCATTGAAACCTCCATCAGACAACTCTACAATTATTGCTCTCTAAAAGCACTTTCAAGAATTAATTCTGTTGTGTTTCCGGTATATGCTTATTACTGTTTTAGTTTATATCCCCTTATTTTAAGTTCTCTTCTGATAGCATTTCCCTTTTGTTGAAAAATTTTCTTAGCATTTCTCAGAGCAGTCCTGGCTGTCAATGAGTTGCTGGATATGTGAATGTCTTCATTTCCCTTTCATTCTTGAAAGGCATTTTGATTGGATATAGAATTATGGACTGGTAGTTATTTTATTTGAGTATATTCAAATTTTCACTTGTCCTTTCAACTGTCATGATTTCTGGTGAGAAATGTGTAGCCATTTGAATCATTGTTTCACTATATGAAACACTTCTATGGTTTATCTGTGGTTTCTTGAACAGTTTTTTTTTTTCTTTTTGAGGTTTTTTTTTTTTATTAACATACCCGCCTATGCTCAGGGATTACTCCTGGTTCTGTACTCAGGGAACACTTCCGGCAGTGCTGAATGACCAGATATGGGGCCAAGGAATCTGCATGGTACACCTTAACCCTATACCATCTCTTTGGCCCATAATTTTATTTTGTCTTTAGTTTACCTCAGTTACATTATGATGTATCAGTTTCTTTAGTTTATTTGGGGTTCTCTGTATTTTTTTAAATCAGTGCTTTAGGTCTTTTAAAAAACATAGCAATTGAAAAATTATTTTTTATTGAATCACTGTGAGATAGATCCTTACAAAGCTGTTCATGATTAACTTTCAGTCATATGGTGTTCCATCATTCATCCTTAGACCAGTGTACAGTTCCCAGCACTAGGGTCCCCAGTTTCTCTCCTATCACCCCACCCCCACCCCATAGAGGAAGGCACTTCTCTCTCTCTCTCTCTCTCTCTCTCTCTCTCTCTCTCTCTCTCTCTCTCTCTCTCTCCCTCTCTGTCCCTTTTGGGCCTTGTGGTTTGCAATACAGATATTGAAAGAATATCAGGAATATCCCTTTACCTAATTTTAACACTCAGTACTTGTCCAATGCAATCATTTCCAGCTATTATTGACATACTGTTCCCTTCTATATCTTACCTACTCTATGTCCCCTACACACTTGTGGTTGATTCCAACCACTGACCATTACTCCTGGCCCCTGATTTCCCTGGCCATGGACATTATCCTTTATATATATGTGTCCTCCTGTTGTTCATCGATTTAATCAAGCGGGCCCAGTAACTTCTCCATTTTGAGACTTGTTGTTACTGTGTTTGGCATATTGAATACGTCACGAGGAGCTTGCAAGGCTTTGCCGTGCTGGCGAGATACTCTCAGTAGCTTGCCAGGCTCTCTGAGAGGGGCGGAGGATTTGAACCCGGCTCAGCTTGGCTGACTGCGTGCAAGGCAAATGCCCTACTGCTGTGCTATCACTTCAGCCCATATATGTGTGTGTGTGTGTGTGTGTGTGTGTGTGTGTGTATATATATATGTATATCACAAATAAATTTAGTCATTCTCTATCTGTCACTCTCCTTCTGATTCAGTTCACTTCTCATGATGCTCTCCATATTCATCCATTTATAGACAAACTTCATGACTTCATTTTCCTAACAGCTGCATAGTATTCCATTGTGTAGATGTGCCACAGTTTCTTTATCCATTCACCTGTTCTCAGGTTGTTTTCAGATTCTGGCTATTGTGAGTAGTGCTATAATAAACATAGAAATGCAGATGGTTTCCTGCTGTGTGCTTTTGAGTCCCCAGAGTATATTCCCAGAAGTGGTATTGCTGGGTCAAATGGGAAGACCAGTTTCTAATTTTTTGAGGAATGCCCATATTGTTTTTCAAAAAAAGTGGACTAGTCGTCATTCCCACCAACAATGAAGGAAAATCCCTTTCTCCCCACAATTGTGCCAGCACTGGTTGCTCTTGTTCTTTTGGATGTGTGCCAGTCTCTATGGTGTGAGATGGTATCTCGTTATTGCTTTCATCTGTACCTCCCTGGCGATTGGTGATGAAGAGCACTTTTTTCATGAATAGCAGCAAATTTTTTTTAATAATTTCCGAAGGGCTGGAGCGATAGCACAGCGGGTAGGGCGTCTGCCTTGCACGCAGCCAACATGGCCGACCCAAGTTCGATTCCTCCGCCCCTCTTGGAGAGCCCGGCAAGCTACCGAGAGTATTCGATATACC